ATAGAGAAGACCTATACTCCCAGTGTCAGGAGGTGGAGTCACAAGAACCAGAAGTGCAAGATTAGCTGTGCCTACATAACAAGTTCAAGGCCAGTGTGAACTACATGCAGCCCTGTCTCAAAAATTCATACAGAAACAAAAAGAGTAAACAGCAATGAGACCAGGGCATTTCCTTTGTGCACACTAGCTCATTCCTTACATTAGACCTTATCTGCAGTTTAACTCAATACCAAAAAGAATCCACGACAAGAAATGCTCTTCTCGATTCTGTAAGGCAAAAGACACAGTTGACAAGACAAAACGGCAGCCCACAGAGTGGGAAAAGATCTTCACCAACCCCACATCTGACAGAAGGCTGATCTCCAAAATACACAAAGAACTCAAGAAGCTAGTCACCAAAACACCAAATAATCCTATTAAAAAGTGGGGTACAAAACTGAATAGAGAATTCACAATAGAGGAATCCAAAATGGCTGAAAGACACTTAAGAAAGTTCTTAACATCCTTAGCCATCAGGGAAACGCAAAATTCAAAACAACTGAGATACCATCTTACTCCTGTCAAAATGGCTAAAATCAAAAACACAAGTGACAGTTTATACTGGAGAGGATGTGGAGAAAGGGGAACACTCCTCCACTGCTGGTGGGAGTGCAAACTCGTACAGCCATTTTGGAGATCAGAATGGCGGTTCCTCAGGAAAATGGGAATTAGTCTACCACAGAACCCAGCAATCCCACTCTTAGACATATACCCAAATGATCCACATCCATTCAACAAAGACATCTGTTCTACTATGTTCATAGCAGCATTATTTGTAATAATGAGAACCTGGAAGCAACTGAAGAATGGATGGAGAAAATGTGGCACATTTACACAATGTAATACTACTCAGTAGAAAACAACAAACAATGGCATCTTGAAATTCGAAGGCAAACGGATGGAACTTGAAGAAACCATCCTGAGGTAACCCAGTCGCAAAAAAGAGGAACATGGTATGTACTCACTCATATATGGATTTTAGACATAGAGCAAAGGATCACCAGCCTACAATTCACATGCCAGAGAAGCTAGGAAATTAGGAGGACCCTAAGAGAGACATACATGGTCCCCCACAGAAGGGGAAAGGGACAAGGTCTCCTGAGCATATTGGGTGGGTGGGGGCAGTGAGTGGAGCGGAAGTTAGGAGAAAGAGAAGGGGAGGAGGGTTGATGAGAACATGAGAGACCAGGAGGACTGAGTCAGGGATAAATAGACAAGAGCAAGAAAAGAGATACCATAATAGAGGGAGCCATTATAGGTTTAAAGGGAAAACTGACACTAGAGAAATGTCCAGAGACCTACAAGGATGACCCCAACTAACAATCTGAGCAATAGTGGAGAGGCTACCTTAAATGCCCTTCCCTGATAATGAGATTAATAACTAACTTATATGCCATCCTACTGCCTTCATCTAGTAGCTGATGGAAACAGAAGCAGACACCTACAACTAAACACTGAACCAAATTTAGAAGGCCTGGGCAGTCTAAGGGATCTCTGACAATGGAACCAGGATGCATCCCTGGTGCATGAAAGTACTTTGGGAACACATTCCCCACGGAGGGATACTCCCCTAACCTAGACACACGAGGGAGGGCCTAGGCCCCACTCCAAATAACTTGACAGATTTTGATGATCTCTCCTGGAAGTCCTCACCCTCCCTATGGAGTGGGTAGGGAATGGGATGGGAGGAGGAAATAAGAGAATGGGAGGGTGAGGGAACTGGAATCGATATGTAAAGTAAGAAAAATAATAATGAATAGTAAAAAAAATAAAGAAAAGAAATGTTCTTCTCATCTATTAAGAATACCATTTTAGCAAGGTATGGTGGCTAACATCTTTAATCCCAGCACTTGGGAAGCAGAGGCCAATAGATCTCTGAGTTCAAGGCCAACCTGGTCTACATAGCAAGTCCAGACCAGCCAGAGCTTTATAGTAAGACCTTATCTATAAATAAATAAATAAATAAATAAATAAATAAATAAATAAATAAAATCATATTAAAAGCAAAAGAAATGTTACACCATATAACCTAGTGTAGAAATGGTGTTTTTACACATTCGGGGAAGAGAACTGAAGGAAATTTTTAAACATTCCAAAACAAGAAAAACAACTGCTCAGTGATTTAAAAAAAAAAAAAAAAGATGAAACAATCAAACTGTTTAAAAGACAGTGGATTCTGTCACTAACTTAATTTTGTGTCAAAATGACAGGTCTTGGGCAACATGAAAGAGCTAGCATGTACCAAGTACCCTTACAGTAATATTCAGCCTTTATAGACACAAACCCAAAATGGGTTTTCCTTTGTGAAGCTTGTTGCCAAAGCAACCAGAAAAGGTCTAGTCTTTCAAGAGAATTTGAAAAATGTTAAGGACAGCAAGGGAAGATCTGAGAATAATGAATAGGATGTTCGAGAGGAGCAGCATGAAGGACACAAACGGGACAGAGCTGAAAAGCAGAAGCCAGAATGACACACAGCCACTAATAAGAAGTGCACAGTCCTGTCCTGGTTTTCCAGTCAGGGCCCGTCTCTCACCCCAAATGCCAACACCAAAGTTATACTACCATTCTCCTCCTGTGCACTGTTTAGGAAATGTATACCACTGAGTTAAGCACAAAAGAAAAGCAGGAAACACCAACAGAGATTGGCAACATCCTCCCTCATTCCAAAGCCAAATGTTTCTGTGTCCAAAGAAATGCTGAAACCCAAACAGCACCAGAAACATCTAGTTCAGAACATAAACCCCAGTCTTACTAAACTTGCCCAGAATGATAGGTCTGGATACCTTAACGCATGAGTGTAAAAAGCACAGTAAAGGAAACATGTCATTCAAGCGTACCCATGTAATCTGGGTCAGGAATCAAAATTAGAGCAGTGCTTCTCAACAGAAGTCAAGGAAAGGATGCCTGGGCAAAAATCATGGTGAAAAAGTGAAGGAGATATAGATTGGCTGAAGAGATAGATAACAGGCCGGGTGGTGGTGGTACACGTCTTTAGCCCCAGCACTCAGGAGGCAGAGGCAGAGGCAGGTGGATCTCTGTGAGTTCAAGGCCAGCCTGGTCTACAAAGTGAGTCCCAGGACAGCCAGAGCTGTTATACAGAGAAACCCTGTGGGGGGGAGGGGGTGCTAACCAATTAAGTCCAGGTGTTGTGATGTACACCTTTGACACCTGCACTTGGCAGATGCAAGAGTTCAAGGTTACTCCCATTTACATAATGAGTTTGAAGCCAGCAGACTGGGCTGCATGAGACCATAACTCAATACAAAACAAGGCAGTACACTACCTACCTAGCAGTGGGTGATGCCCCCAAAGATGACAAAGAGTTGTCCCTCCAAGCAAATGTACATCTGTCTCCACATCAGAATCAGTCAAGAGCTTCAAGTCTTTTTCAGTTTTTAAATGTCACATATTGAGGGCAAATCTAACTGCCACTTAAGAAATCTGACAGGCAAAGCCTACAGAATCAGAAGCACAAGGAGGGTGGGACATTTGTTTACAGCTGTCACTTTCCCTAACTCTCTCCACTTCTGCTGGAAGTGACCACTCCCTCCATAAATTCTCAATTTCTGTAACATTCCATCTTTCTCCAAGTCCATTTCATACTCTTTATGCACCTTTATCTCACAAGTAGAATATATGCTCCTCAGGAGTAATACTGTATCTGAATTGTCTTTGCAAACCTCTGGGCATCCATTCACTCACTCATCAAATATTTCCTAAGTACTAAATAAATGCCAGGCACCATACTCAAGCAAATATCTATTGTTTATGTGAGTGTTCAATACCGGGCAGGGGAAAAAAATGAGTTCAGAAAAAGATTCCATTCATACTAGAATTTTAAAGAAAATCCGGAGGGGCTATTATAAATAATTTGACTGAGGTTTTAATATCAGGGTACACATCTGTGCTGCTTACTGTTAAAGACTACAAGGCTTTTTCTCCTCATGACCTATGAAGTGTATTATTTTTACAGGAAGTTCTATCCTCTCGTTTGTAAAATAAAATTGATAGCAATTTAACAGGCCATTCTCCTAAACTACTGTGTCGGACATGAAACCCATAGACAGGTCAGTCCCTTAAGTTTGATTTAAGGCTTGATTTATCCCTTCTTTCAAGGGCTTGGAACCTACCAGATTATGGTGGGTCCTGGGTGTTAAAAAAAAAAAAAAAGTCACCAGGACCATTGAAGGAGAATGATCAAGTCATTAGATTAAGAACTCAAATCAAAGTGAAGGATAAGTGGGGGAAACAAGGGATGTTTGTTCCATGAAAATATGTGGGGCGAAATTCGAATGACAATAACATGTGTGTCATAATGCATTTTATTGAGGCTGGTTTAAGTTTATTCAACGTTTTAAACTGTTTGTTTGTTTAAATAGACCTGTATATTGTCTACCAACCCCACTCTTCACCCTAATATTTCAGGAAGAGGCCAACATAGAGGGCATTTTAAAATTCTGCTTTGGAATGACTCTGGGGGAGGGGGTACAAACTGGAAGAAGAAAGCGAATACAAATAAGAACACATGTGTCATTTCAACATCCAGTCCTAACCAGCTCCCTGCGGAACCTGGGATCGGTTCTTGGGATAGCTGTGGCTATTCACAGGTGGTGGAAACCTGTGTCACAGAGTGGGGCACCTGGCAACTGGTGACAGCAGACTTGGCCCTGGCCCCCAGAAGCCCGGGCCACAGCGGACCGCTCAGCGTGCAGCCTGCGAGCCGCCTCAGAGCCGGGGCCCCGGGCGAGCACCAGCCCCGGGGAGAAGACTGAGGGCGGGCTCCTCTCCTTGAATCGTGGGGGCCGGCCGCCCCGCCGGACCACGGGCCCTGGGGAGGGGCTGGGGAGGCCAGGGGCAAGGGAAGGGAAGGGCCGGCGGGCGGGGCCCGACCGACGCCTCTCCCTTCCTCCGCGGAGGGCGAGCCGCTGCCCCGTCCTCACCCTGCCTCCTGCCTCCCTCACCTGATCACCGAGATGAGCAGCCCCGAGGGGTCTTTGCTTTTGCTGACTGTGCTCCTGAATTTCCCACCAGCTGCTTCTGCCGCCATCTTGGTACGGGAGCGAGAGGCAGGTGCTTGACAGGACCGGGGACGCGGAGGAACGTCCGCCAATGGCAGGAGAGAACCGAGAAGGCGCGGAAGTGAAGGGACCAATCACTGGAGTGAGAAGGCGGGACTGATGCTCAGCCGGAGGCCAGGGCGCCTGTTCGCTCTGAGCACTCTGGGAAACGTAGTTCTGCGAGTCCTGGGCATGCCCTGACAATAAGCCAATGGCAACTTCTTCAAGTCTCCTAATGGGTGACTTCTTTAGATCTCTTAAGACCTCATTTGTTTTTCAGTTTACTCCCTTTTATAACTTTACAATTTTTTAATTTAATGTATCTAATGATATCAAAATGGATATGCAGATACGTGTAGTTAGATTGAGTGTGGAAAAATATATATTGAAATACTGTCTTTTATCAGCCAAATGCAAAATGTTATAGGCACAGACTTTTCTTGGGTATTTGCTAAGACTGAATTTTTCAGCACTTTGTCTTATGTGTAAGTTCACTTTTGCGTGATGCATGTTTTTCTGAAAAAAAAAAAGGTAACAGACCCAGGTTCATTTCCCAGCACCTTCATTGTACCTCACAACAGTCTGTAACTACACTAGCAGGGGGTAGATGTCTATGAGTTCCAGACCAGCCTGCTCTACATATAGTTCCAGGACATTCAGGACTATGTAGAGAGACCCTGTCAAAGGCAAGGAAGGCAGGAAGGCAGGAAGGCAGGAAGGGAGGAAGGCAGGAAGGCAGGAAGGAAAAGACAAGAAGAAAGAAATTAGCTGAATAATTACAACTCAACAGAAGCAAAAAGCATAAAACAGGATTTAAGCAGGAAATTCAAATATGTATATGTGAGAAGTACAAAATATTACTGGAGAAAAAATAAAGGAATTTCTATGTGCATGAAGTTTTTCAGCAATAGAATAGTTGACACTAAAATTCATGTAAACATAAAAACCCATGAATAGCCTAAGCAGTCTTGGGAAAGAAAATAAATTTATGGAGGGCTGGGGAAATAGCTGGGTTAGTAAAGCAGGTAGCCCGAAAGTATAAGGACCTGAATTTTATACCCAGAACTCAAGTACAAGACCAGACACAATGAAATAGGCTCAACGACCTCAGGACTAAGGATGCAGAGACAGGAGGATCCCAGGTGCTCACTGACCAGTCAGCCTAGCCAAAATGGCACGCTACAGGGTCAGTGAAAAGGCCCTGACTCTGAAACCAACGAGATGGATAAACTGAGGAAGACGCCTTGGTTAACCTCAGGACATCATACACACAAACACACAAGAATGATATAGAGTATTTGCTTTTTCTGGTTTAAAACCACACCAAAAAGCTAGAGCAATCAAAGAGAAGAGCTAACCTAAGAGGAGACACATAATTGAGCTGCAGCTGAGAATCCAGACATAACCCCACATGTCTATAGGCTGTTTTTTCTATTTTTAAGATTTATGTGTTTCCCTTTGTGTAGAATTGTTTGCCTGCATGCATGTGTATGTGTATGCATACTTGTGTGTGCCCTGGCGCTTGCAGGGGACGGCCTGGCGCTTGCAGAGGCCAGAAGAGGGCGTCAAATGGCCTGGAACTGGAGATAAACAAGGTTGAAAGCACTAGGAAGCAAACCCAGGTATTCTGCTAAATCAGCAAGTGCTCTTTTGTTTTTTTTTTTAATAAGACTTGTTTATTTATTCATGTGAGTGCTCTGTTTGCATGTATGCCTATATGACAGGACAGGGCATCAGAGTCCATCATAAATAGCTGTGAGCCACCATGTAGTTGCTGGGAATTGAACTCAGGACCTGTTGAAGAATAGCAAATGCTCTTATTCACTGAGCCATCTCTCCATGACAAGGTTTCCAATATCATTCAAACTTATATTTTTATTATCATTTTTGAAATATGGATATTTCAAGTATGATAGGGAGAGTAGTGTTTTCAGTAAATGACAATAGAACACTAGATATAAACATGAAAAAAAAATGAAGTGGACCCCTACCTCACATAAAAACTAACTCAAAATGTATCAAAGTCCTAAATTTATTATTTAAAACTTTTGGAAGAAAATATGGAGGTAAATCTTTATAATCTCAGATTTTTAGATATGACAACAAAAGCAAAAGCAATAAAAGGAAGATGTATATTAAAAATAGGAATTTATTAGATATTTGTAAGTTATATATCTGCTCTTTTCAAAAGCTCCAAAGGACATGTAAATGATCAACATTATTATTAGTGAAATGAAAATTAAAACAGTAATAGCTGTCACTTCAGACTCACTCAGCTGACTACTTTTCTTGAATTATGTTTTGCATTAGGTCACATATTTGATGGTGGAACACACGTGGGAGCCAGAGAACAACCTGAGGGAGCAGCTCCTTCCGAGCACCCTGCTGGTCACAAGCTCACACAGATCCACCGGCTTGTGCTGAGATTAAGGGCATGGCCCACTGTACCCAGCCCAAAAATGAAAAGTGAATGCTGGCAAATACATAAAGAAATCAGAACAATGTTGCTGAGAATAGGAACTGTTTCAGTCAGTGTAGAAGTGGCTGTTTCTTTCACAAATAATACCCAAGAGAATTACATGTTTAAAAATAACATGTACGTAGCATTCATAAAAGCTTTCTTGACAATAGTGATATATTTGGTATAATATGAGATGTGTGATTGTGGTATAAACAAAAACAGACTGCCCATTGAATACACCAAAGCCACAGAAAGGGGTGAAGTATTGGCACATGCTACAACATTAATTCTCCTGCAAACACTGTGCCAAGCGAAAGAAGCCAGACACAAAAACTGAGGAGTCCATTTATATGAAATATCTTAGCCAAGCAGTGGTGGCTCACGCCTTTAATCCCAGCACTGGGGAGGCAGAGACAGGTGGATCTCTAAATTCAAGGCCAACCTAGTCTATAGATTGAGTTCCAGGACAGCCAGGGCTAAACTATGTTTCAAGCACACACAGCAATTCGTGCACACACACGTATGCGTATGCAAACACACACACATACTCAAAATAATAAATAAAAATGTGATTGAATGAATGAACAAACAAAGAAATAAATAAAGGAATAAAATGAAACACCCAGAATGGGTAAATTCACAGAGACAAAAAGCAAATTAGTGAGTTGGGGGATGGGTGACTTTATAATAGAAAGTATATAACACTATACTTTATAATAGAAAGCATAAAATACTACACAGTTTCAGTGTTTACCCTTGCACAACTTTTGAATCTATTAAGCCCACTGTTAGCACATTTAAGATGATGAAAAGGTAGTTTATGTGGTATGTATTTTAAAGTATGCATTTGTGTTGTAGGACTCCCTAGATTTAATCCAAGGTCTCAATTGACTCTACCCTTTTTTTTTTTTTTTTTTTTTTTTTTTTTTTTTTTTTTGAAAAGAGGCATAAGCCATTCTGGACTCAGTTTTCATATCTGTTAGACAGGTAATAACACGACTTTACTTATAATCATGCCTTCAAAGTGCCTAAAGTATGTCTTGGGCAGCAATGTGAGGATATTTAAAGACACAATAATATGGAGCCAGGCCTTTAATCCCTGAACTCTGGAGGCAGAGGCAGGTAGATCTCTATGAGTTGAAGGCCAGCCTGGTCTACAGTGTTCCAGGAGAGCCAGAGTTACACAAAGAAACCCTCTCTCAAAACAAACAACAAGAAAAAAGACACAATTATTTGGATAATTTTTCCTTTCCTATGGGTCCTATAAACTTTAAATGGAAATAAGCAAATGCATTTTAAAAAGCAAGAATTGGATAAGTGTCAAAAATGATGGACTGCTTTTATCACATACAAGAACTGTAATTAGGTGATAATTGAATTATCACACACCAAATTAAACCCTCAAGAAAGTGTTCTAATTATCCTGTTTCATATCACACTTTAGAAAAACTTAACCCCATATACCTTTCATCTTCTAGTAATAAATATAGTCTTTGACATTGTTTCTATTCTTGGTTGTCTTGAAGATAACTCCAAGCTTGTACTAGAATGTGGGAATTTTTTTTCCAATTTTTAGAAGGATTAGTAGATCTACTCTCTTATAACTATCAGCCTTTAACATAGACTCCCAAAGTCAACAGGCTTAGAACCAAATAATATTTCTCAACATATAAGAGATTCTTCTATGTAGGGATGGTGACATGAATATGTGGTAAGGATTTGGAGATGAACATAATCCAAAGAATGTACTGAATAAACACACACACACACACACACACACACACACACACACACACACACACACACAAACTGCTACAGATTTTTCAATGAAAAAGAATCAGACAGGGCAGGAACATGGAGGCAGGAGGCCATAGAAGAATGCTGCTTACTGGCTTGCTTCCCATAGCTTTCCCAACCTGCTTGCTTGCTTTTATTGAGGTGATTTGGTTTGGTTTAGTTTGGTTTCTTTGTGTAGCACTGGCTGTCCTGGCACTCCCTCTGTAGACCAGGATGTCCTGAAACTCAAAAGATGGTCTGCTCTGCCTTTTGAGTGCTTGGATTAAAGGCGTGTACCAATACCACCAGAAACAGCCTACTTTCTTAAAGAACCCAGGACCACAAGCCCAGGAATAGACTCACCAACAATGGACTGGACCCTCCCACATCAATTGCTAATTAGTAAAATGCCCTACAGGCTTTGCTACAGCACAATTTTATGGAAGCATTTTCTTAATTGAGGTTTTCTCTTTTCATTTAACTATAGCTTATGTCAACTTGACATAAAAATAGCCAGAAAACATGGGCACCTACACACACACACACACACACACACAGAGAGAGAGAGAGAGAGAGAGAGAGAGAGAGAGAGAGAGAGAGAGAGCTGTAGTTAGGGTTTCTATTGCTGTGAACAGACACCATGACCATGGCAACCCTTCTAAGAGGTGGATCACTTACAGCTTCAGGGGTTCACTCCACTATCATCATGGCAGGGAGCATGGTAGCATACAGGCAGAGATGTTGCTGGCCACATCTTGATCAGAAGGCAGCGGACTATGACATTGGGCAGTATCTTGAGCATA